GGGATTCTCTTGTGAGCAAAGGAGTGGAGGACTCTTCTTGTGAAATACCATTAATTGTATTAATATCCGATAAACCATGTAGATTCCAAGCAGATGAACTGTATTCGAAGAGTGGTCTGGCAAAGGTTTTGTATAGGCCCTAGTTTGCAGTTCAATGTTACCGGAGAAGAAGCTTCACGAAATTAGGTTAACCACTCTTAATGTCTTTTTTTTTTTTTTTTGGCAATGCTCTTTCAGTGAGCTCTAGAAGGAAGGAATTCTGGAAGGAACGAATAACTGAAGGAAGAAAGGAATTCCCAACCTGGCATGAGGAGTTTCTCCCCGTCCTTTTATGAAATCAAAGGAAAGCCAGCAGAACTGATTGCCACTAGAGGGGAAAGAAATATGAGAGCTTAGCAAAGGAATTTAGCCAAAGCTGGTGGGGTGTAGGTAGCTAGCCTGAAAACCAGGAGCCTGTGAGTTCTAGTCTCACCTTGGGCATGAAAGCCAGCTGGGTGGCTTTGGGCCAATCAGCAGGAGACTGTGAATTCTAGTTCCATCTTGGGCATGAAAGATAGATGGGTGACTTTGGGCCAATCACCAGGAACCTGTGAGTTCTAGTCCCACCTTGGGCATGATAGATGGATGACTTTGGGCCAATCACCAGGAGACTGTGAGTTCTAGTTCCACCTTAGTGATGAAAGCCAGCTGGGTGACTTTGGGCCAATCACCAGGAGACTGTGAGTTCTAGTTCCACTTTGGGTGTGAAAGCCAGCTGGGTGACTTTGGGCCAATCAGCAGGAGACTGTGAGTTCTAGTTCCACTTTGGGCATGAAAGCCAGCTGGGTAACTTTGGGCCAATCAGCAGGGGAATGTGAGTTCTAGTTTCATCTTGAGCATGAAAGCCAGCTGGGTGACTTTAGGCCAATCATTCAGCAGATTCAGTATGAAAGCTGAACGGGTGACTTTAGTGCTTAGACCAGGAGACAGTGAGTTCTAGTCCCACCTGGGACATGGAAGCTAAATGGGTGACTTTGGGCCAATCACCAGGAGACTGTGAGTTCTAGTCCCACCTTCGGCACGGAAGCCAGCTGGGTGACTTTGGGCCAATCACCAGATGACTGGGAGTTCTAGTCTCAGTTGGGCACGAAAGCCGGCTAGCCGACTTTCAACCAATCATCAGGAGCGTGTGAGTTCTAGTCCTGCCTTAAAAAAAATACATACAAGTCAACTCGGCCAATAATCCTCTCTCAGCTCCACCCACCTTGTAGGGTTGTTGTTGTCGTAGGGAAAATGGAGGAGGAAGGAGCAATAGATCTCTTCACCACCTCGAATTGTTCATTTAAAAAAAAAAAGACGGGGTTTACAAAAAACAAATAAATAAATACATTTAGTTTTGCAAGCTGTCTCCCCTAGGCCGGATGTCTCTGAAGCGAATGGCTGCCAAATCACAGCCCGTATGAATAGCCACGGCGGAGACACCGCACGCAACCATATTCTCTCTCCTGCTGCTCCGTAGGAACCTCCCCCTCTCCATTGGGATATCCATGCCGATCGTCACGGTGATCTACATCATGACCAACGTGGCCTACTACACGGTCCTGAGCAAGATGGAGATCCTGTCGAGCGATGCCGTGGCTGTGGTTAGTAAGCGCCTCTCGTCCCGTTCCTGGGACGGATCAGCGGGATTGTCCTTGAAGCAGGATTGTTCAACCTTGGCCACTTTTAAGACTCGTGGACTTCAACTCCCAGAATTCCCCAGCCAGCCCTAGGGGATCAAATATTGTATGGTGGCCTAGAAGCGGAGCCCTCGCCTCACAATCAGGAGGCCGTGAGTTCGATCCTAGGTAGAGGCAGATATTTCTCTCGCTCTCTGGGCACAATGAGAATATATCTGCCGAATATAACTCCGCACTGGCGACCGGAAGGCATCCGGCCAGGAAACACTCAGCTCCATTCAGTTGCCTAGACTGCACCCTGATATAAGGGATTATGGGGGTCATTAAAAGACACCAAAAACCCCACATATTGTACGATGCCGTTAAATGAAGCGCTTAGTCTTGTAGAACTTGGCTGGATGGGGAATTCTGGGAGTTGAAGTCCAAGGTTTTGAAGTGGCCGAGGTTGGACAGGCCTGCTTTAAACAGTCATTTAACTAGGGGATCGCAGATTGTACAATGCCATTAAGTGACGTGCTTGGAGTGAGGAATCAGGGAGCTGTGAGTTCAATCCTAGGTAGTAGAGGCAGAAATTTCTCTCTCTGGGCCCACTGAGAATATATCTGCTGAAGAAAACTCCACCCTGGCAACAGGAAGGGCATCTGGCCATTCAAACACTCAGCTCCCTTCAGTTGCTTAGACTCCAGATTATGAGGTCGTTAAATGAAGATGCTGACTAAATGACATGCTTAGTCTTGGCATAGGGCAAGGGTGTCAAATTTGATTTCATTGATGGCTGCATCAGTTTGACCTTGGGGGCCCGAGGTGGGCGTGGCCAGTTCGACGTTGCTGTGATGACCCGAGTGCTATGCCAGTGAAAACGGGCTCCCGAGCTCTGTTTTAGGCTGGGACGGCCTCTTGCAATCAGTGGTGAAATTCAATTTTTTTCACTATCGGTTCTGTGGGCGTGGCTTGGTGGGCATGGGCATGGCTTGGTGGGCATGGGCGTGGCTTGGTGGGCATGGGCGTGGCAGGGGAAGGATACTGCAAAATCTCCATTCCCACCCCACTCGGGGGCCTGCCAGAGGTGGCATTTGCTGATTCTCCGAACTACCCAAAATTTCCGCTACCGGTTCTCCAGAACCTGTCAGAACCTGCTGGATTTCACCCCCGATTGCAACCCTCTGCCAGTGAAAACGGAGCTCCATTCCTGCTCTGGCATAAGGTGAGGGCCAGCAGCTGATCGAAGAAACCTCTTCTTTTTATTCTAGACTTTTGGCGATCAGGTTTTCGGAGTGATGAGTTGGACCATTCCCCTCGCGGTGGCCCTGTCCTGCTTTGGAGGCCTTAATGCTTCCATTCTTGCCGCTTCCAGGTAAACCACTATTGAGCCGTGTGGCCTGTTTGAAACCGGGCTGCGAGAGAAATGGGCAAGCACACACATACACATCGTATTTTTTGGAGCATAAGACGCATCTTTTTCCTCTCAAAAAAGGGGCTGAAAATCTGGGTGCGTCTTATACACTGAATAAAGCATTTTTTGCCTCCTGAAACCCCGTCCCCCCTTCACCAAAATGGCCATGCATAGCCTTTAGGAGGCTTTCAGCGAGCTCCTGGGGGCTGAGGAAGGCAGAAATGAGCGAAAAACGGGCCCTTTTTTGCTCAATTTTGCCCCCCCTCCAACTCCCCAGGAACAGTCGCGCAGCCACGCAGCCCACGCAAGCGATTGTGGGTGTGCCTCGGTACACCCACGTTACACCTATCCTCCGCAAGCTGCACTGGCTACCTATTGGTCTCCGGATACGCTTCAAGGTGTTAGTCGTCACTTATAAAGCCCTACATGGTATTGGACCTGGGTACTTGAGAGACCGCCTCCTGCCAATTACCTCCCATAGATCCCACAGATTAGGCCTCCTCCGAATTCCATCTGCCGGCCAGTGCCGGCTGTCGACCACCTGTAGGAGTGCCTTCTCTGTGGTTGCTCCGGCCCTTTGGAACGAGCTCCCCATGGAGATTCAGACCCTCGC